TCATACCACCAGAGGAAATACCTTCACTAAAGGAAGACAGGAGGAAAAGAGGGAAGCAATGACCACAAAACAACCAGAAGACAAATATCAAAATGGCAGGATTAAGTCCTTACTTATGAATAATAACACTGAATGTAAATGGACTAAACTCTCCAATCTAAAACAAAAACAAACAAACAAACAAACAAAACATAGTTCCCCTATAAATACACACATGGACTGAAAATAAGGGAATGAAAAAGGATTTTCCATGCCAGTTTAAGCCAAACAAGAGCAGAAGTAGCTATACTAATGTCAGACAAAATAGATATAAAAACAAAAGCTATATGAAAAGAGAAAGAAGGTCAAAATATAATGATAAAAGGGTCAATTCAGCAACGGGATATAACAATTGTAAATACATATGCACCCAACACTGGAGCACCCAGATATATAAAGCAAATATTATTAAAGGTAGAGCGATAGGCCCCAACACAAAAACAGCTGGAGACTTCAACTCCCCACTTTCAGCATTGGACAGATCTTGCAAACAGAAAATTAACAAAGAAACATTGGATTTAATCTGCACTATAGACCAAATATATCTAATAGATATTTATAGAATATTCCATATAAGCTACAGAATACATGTTGTTTTTCTTAGCACACGGATTTTTCTCAAGGACAGATCCAGATGTTAGATCACAGAATAAGTCTTAAAACATTCAAAAAATGAAAATATCAACCATCTTCCCTGACCACAATGGAATAAAACTAGAAATTAATAATGAGATAAATTTTGGAAGCTATACAAATATATAAAAATTAAGCAATATGTTCCTGAATGACCAGTGGTCAATAAAAAAATTATAAAGAAAATTTAAAAATTTATGGAAATAAATAATAGTGGAAACAAAACATACCAAAATCTATGGGATACAGTCAAAGTATTACTCAGAGGGAAGTTTATAGCTATAAATGCCTACATTAAAAAGAGAAAAAACTTCAACAACAACAACAAACCAATCTAATGATACATTTTAAAGAACTAGAAAAGCAAGAGGAAACCAAACCCAAAATTACGAGATAAAATAACAATAAAGATCAGAACAGAAATAAATAAAATTAAAATTAAAAAGCAATACAAAAAAAAACCAACAATGAAACAAAAATTTGGAATTTTGAAAAGTTAAACAAAATCGACAAACCTTTAGCCAGACTAAAAGAGAAAGAGAGAAGATACAAATAAAATCAGAAGTGAAAAACAAGACATTACCACTGATACCACAGAAATTCAAAGGATCATTTGTGGCTACTATAAGCAACTATATGCCAATAAATTGAAAAATCCAGAAGAAAGGAAAAAATTCCTAAAAACATGTGACATAGCAAGATTGAACCATGAGCCAGACATGGTGGTTCACGCCTGTAATCCCAGTACTTTGAGAGGCCAGGGTGGCTGGATCACTTGAAGCCAGGAGATTGAGACCAATCTGGACAACATGGTAAAACCCTGTTTCTACTAAAAGTACAAAAATTTAGCCAGTCATCGTGGCACGCACATGTAATCCCAGCTACTTGGATGACTGAGGCACAAGAATTGCTTGAGCCTGGGAGGCAGAGGTTGCAGTGACTTGGGACCACGCCATTGCACTCCTGCCTGGGCAACAGAGCAAGATTCTCTCACACACACACACACACACACACACACACACACACACACACACACACAGGGAACCATGAAGACACCCAAAACCTGTCCAGAACAATAACAAGTAATGAAACTGAAGCTGTAATAAAAAGTCTCCCAGTAAAGAAAAGCCTGGGACTCAATGGTGTCACTGCTGAATTTTACCAAACATTTAAGGAAGAACTAATACCAATCCTATTCAAACTATTCTGAAAAGTAGAGGAGAAGGGAATACTTCCAGACTCTTTCTATGATGCCAGTATTACCCTGATACCAAAAACAGCTAAATATACATTTAAAAAAAAAAAAAGAAAAGAAAACTATAACTACTGGAAAATAACTCTGATAAGTATTGATGCAAAAATCCTCAACGAAATACTAGCAAACATAATTCAACAGTACATTAGAAAAATCATTCATCGTGACCAAGAGGGATTTATGTAAGGGATGCAAGGACAGTCTAATACATGCAAATCAATGTGATACATCAGATCAGCAGAATGAAGGATGAAAACCATGTGACCATTTCAATCGATGCTAAAAAAAGCATTTGATAAAATAAAACATCCCTTCATGACAAAAACTCAAAAAACTAAGTATAGAAGGAACATACCTCAACATAATAAAAGCCATATATGACAGACTCACCGGTAGTAGCATACTGAATGGGAAAAATCAGAAAGCTTTTCCTCCAAGGTCTAGAATATGACAAGGATGCCCATTTTATCACCATTGTTATTCAACATAGTACAGGAAGTCCTAGCTAGAGCAATGAGATGAGAGAAGGAAAGAAAGGGCATCCGAATTGGAAAGGAAGAAGTCAAATTATCCTTGTTTACAGATGATATAATTTTATATTTGGAAAAACCTAAAGACTCCACAATAAAGCTATTGGAACTGATACACAAATTCAGTAAAGTTGCAGAATACAAAATCAACATCCAAACTTGGTAGCATTTCTATATGCCAACAGTGAACAATCTGAAAAAGAAATTTTACAAGTAACCTTATTTGCTTTAGCCACAAAAATTTAACTACCTATGAATTAATTTAACCAAAGAAATATAAGATGTCTATAATGAAAACTATAAAGCACTGATAAAATAAATTGATGAGGACATCAAAAAAATGAAAACTATTGTATGTTTATGTATTGAAAGAATCAATATGGTTAAAATGTGCATAGCACTCAAAGGAATCTCCAGACTCAATGTAATCCCTATCAAAATACCAATAGAACCTTCATCAAAATAGAAAAAACAATCATAAAATTTATACGGAATTTATATTTTTATCATCTGTGAAGATTCTTCACACACACACACACACACAAGGCAGGGTGCAAGGGCTCGTGTCTGTAATGCCAGCACTTTGGGAAGTCAAAGTGGGTGAATTGCTTGAGCTCAGAAGTTTCAGACCAGCCGGGGAAACATGGCAAAACCCTGTCTCTACAAAAAAATACAAAAATAAGCCAGGTGTGGTGGCATGCACCTGTAGTCTCAGCTACTCAAGAGGCTGAGGTGGGAGGATGGCTTGAGCCTGGGAGCATAGGTTGCAGTGAGCCATGATCGCACCACTGAACACCAGCTTGGGTGACAGAGCAAGACCCTGTCTCAAAAAAAAAAAAAAAAATTAAGAAAGTAGAAAAAATAACTTTAAATTTATGTGGAACCACAGAATAGCCAATGCTATCCTAACCAAAAATAACGAAACTGGAGGAATTACATTACCTGACTTCAAATTATACTACAAAGCTATAGTAACTAAAATGGTATGACACTGCTGTAAAAACAGACACATAGAATGATAGAACAGAATAAAAAATCCAAAAACAAATTGTGACACCTACAGTGAAGTTATTTTTGACAAAGGTGCCAAGAACATACACTGGGGAAAAGACAGTCTCTTCACTAAATGGTGCTGGGAAAACTGGATATAGATATGCAGAAGAATGAAACTAGGCCCCTATGTCTCAATATATTCAAAAATAATATCAAAACAGGTTAAAGACTTATATCTAAGACCTCAAACTATGAAATTACTACAAGAAAATATTGGGGAAAACCTCTAGGACAATGGTTTGGGCAACAATTTCTTGAGGCATACCCCGCAAGCACAGGCAATCAAAGCAAAAATGGACAAATGAGATCACATCAAGTTAAAAAGCTTCTGCAAAGCAAAGGAAACTATCAACAAAATGAAGGGACAACCCACAGAATTTGAGAAAATATTTTCAAACCACCTATCTGACAAGGGATTAATAACCAGAATATATAAGGAGCTCAAACAACTCTACAGGAAAAAAAAATCTAATAATCCAATTTAAAAATGGGAAAAAGATCTTAATAGAACTTTCTCAAGAAAAAGACATACTAATGGCAAACCAGTATAAGAAAAGATGTTCAGCATCACTGATCATCAACATCACTGATCATTATCAACATCACTGATCATCAGAAAAACTATAATGAGATCTCATTTTACCCCAGTTAAACATGGCCTTTATCCCAAAGACAGACAATAACAAATGCTGTTGAGGATGTGGAGAAAAGAGAACCTCGTACACTGTTGGTAGGAATGTAAATTAGTACAATCATTATGAAGAACAGTTTTGAGGTTCCTCACAAAAATAAACATAGAGCTACCACATGATCCAGCATTCCCATTCCTGGGTACATACTCAAAAGAAAGTATATCAAAGAGATATCTGCACTCCTATGTTTATTCCAGCACGACTTACAATAACTAAGATTTGGGAGCAACCTAAGTGCCCATTAACAGATGAATGAATTTTAAAAATGTGGTACATATACGTAGTAAAGTACTATTCAGCCATTAAAAACAATGAGATCCTGTCATTTTCATTTGCAGCAACATGGATGGAACTGGAGGTCATTATGTTACATGAAATAAGCCAGGCATAAACATAGCATGTTCTCACTTACTTGTGGGATGTAAAAATCAAAACAATTGAACTTGTGGACATAGAGCAGTAGTAGAAAGGTTACCAGAGGCTTGGAAGGGGACATGGGGGAAGAGGGGAGGTTGGGATGGCTAATGGGTTTAACAAAATAGAAAGAATGATTAAGACCTACTATTTGATATCACAACAGGGTACCTACAGTCAATAATAAATTGTACATTTTTAAATAACTAAAAAACTTTAACTGGATTGTTTGTAACACTAAGGAAAAATGCTTGAGAATGGATACCCCATTCTCCATGATGTGATTATTTCACATTGCTTGCCTCTATCAAAACATCTCATGCAACCCACAAATATATATACCTACTATAAATGCACACACACACATACACACAAACGAAAACAGTGCTTGCTTCAGAAGCACATATACTAAAATTGGAACAATACAGAGAATATTATCATGGCCCTTTGCACAAGGATAACATACAAATTTGTAAACTGTTCTATATTTTTTATATTAAATAAAATTATTATTTAAAAAATTAAAAAACTAAAGAATTTTAATACAAAGTTTGGCAAAACATTCTGTGTAGTTTCTAAGTACCCCATAGTGAAAAATAATATAATAAATAGTCCAAAAATAAAAATAGATGCTGAAAAAAAAAAAAAAAGAAGTGGCCAAAATGGCTGAAAAGAAGCAGACAGTGTACATGGTTCTTGTGGAGAGAAAGAGAAGAGGTGAATAAATACAACAACTTCGACTGAAACATTCAGGTACTTGCATTGGGATTAATCAAGGAAACAGCCTGACCCACAGAGAACAAGGAAAAGCAAGACAAGACAAACGGCCCGCCTAGGAAAAACATGGAGCCATGGGATTCTCCCCTGCCCCCGGAAGCAGTGAATACATAAGCAGCCCTAGGAAACCATGCTTTTCCCACAGATCTTTGCAACTTACAGGTCAAGAGGTCTCCTTGTGAACCCACTCCAACAGGGCCTTCAGTCTTCAGTCTGACAGACAAAACTATGTGGAGTCTTGCCAGAGCAGCTGCTCAGGCACGTATGGAGACTCTGAGGCCTTAGATATGGGGCTTTCTAGCAAAAGTAGCTGCAGCTCTGGCAAAGTGGGAGGTTAGACTCCTGTGCATACCTCTAAGAAAGAGGATGAATCCAAGGGGCCAAGCAGCAACAGCTCACAGGCCCCACTTCCACAGCACCTCACAAGATAAGACCCACTGGCTTGGAATTTCAGTCAGCTACCAGTAGCGGCATTGCACTTCCCTAAGAAGGAGCTCCCTGGAGTTGGGGTGGGCCACCGTCTTTGCTGTTCAGGTGCCTTAGCCATTCCAGTCTTCAGGCTTTGGAGAGTCTGAGCTCACCTAGAGCAGAAGGGATCCCCCAGAACAGTACAGCTGCTCTACCAAAACATGGCCAGACTGCTGCTTTAAGCAGGTGCCCAATCCTGTTCCCTCTCACTGGACAGGACCTCCCAATTGGGGCCTTGAGCCACCCTGGCTAAGCACTCCAACTAACAGAGATCTGAATTACCCCTGGATGGTACTCCCAGAGGGAGGGACAGGCCACCATCTTCGCTGTTTGGGTGACTTAGCAGTTTCAGCCTTTGGGCTTTGGAGTGACTGGGGTGACTGAGCACTGAAGTGGACCCCCAGCACAGCACAGCTGCTTTACAAAAATGTGGCCAGACTGCATTTTAAAATGGATCCTGATCCCATTCCTCCTCACTGGGAAGGACCTCCCAACCAGGGTCTCTAGCCACTTCCTACAGGTGTCTTTGGGCCAGCAATAGGTATATACCTCCCTTAACAAAGCTCCCAAGGGAACTGCCCTTGCCACCCTCAGACTAATGAAGAAGTGGAGATCCTAAGTACTTTATTCATACCTCCAACAAGCTGCAGTTGACCTAAGGGGATGAGGTCAGTCCAGCTCCCATGGGTCCCATACACTTCCCATGGCTTGTTACCAGACAGGGAACCCGTGGCTTGAACCCATAGCACAAACCCTTTATCTTGGGTTGACTGCACTGAGCAATTGCTGACCCACATCTCTCTGGGTTAGAGCCCCAAGGAGTCAAGCAAATGACCCCTGGCCACAACCACTACTAAGATCTTTTCCTCTTCTGCCTCTAACCTGGGAAAAGAACATAAACACTGAAATTACCCAAGAGCTGCAGTGGGCAGCCTAGGAGTGCCACATCATGAACTACCGGCTGCACTTAAGAGGGAAAGGGAGAACACTGAGAGGGAACATAACTGCAACTGCAGGAAAACATAGGGGAGCCACACAACAGAGCAAGAGTCTACCAACTGACCAGTAAGTCTAAGTGTCACCTGCTGGATCACACCCCAAGGCTTCAACACCAAAAATACCTCACTAACATACCATCCTCTGCAACCAGAGACAAGAAGTCAGCTTCAAATAAAGGCCCTACAGATAGTCTTGGTCCAATGAAAACATCCAGAAAAGAAATCTATTGACTGTATTCAATCTGCACTGCAATTAAAGGAACACTCACACACAGATGAGAAAGAATCAGTGCAAGAACTTTGGTGACTGTCATATTTCCTCCAACTGCAGCAGTTCTCCAACAAGAGTTCTTAACCAAGCTGAACTGGCTGGAATGACAGAAATATAATTCAGCATATAAATAGGAACAAAGATCACCAAGATTCAGGAGGATGGCAAAACCCAATCCAAGGAAAATGAAAATCACAATAAAGTGATACAGGAGATGAAGAATAAAATTACAACTATAAAAAAGAATGTAACAGGTCTGGTAGACCTGAATAACACAAAACAAGAATTTCACAATGTAAGCACAAATATTAAGAGCAGAATAACCCAAGGTGAAGAAAGCATTTCAGGTCGGGTGTGGTGACTCACACCTGTAATGCCAACACTTTGGGAAGCCAAGGTGGTCAGATCATCTGAGGTCAGGAGTTCGAGACAAGCCCGGCCAACATGGTGCAACCCTGTCTCTACTAAAAATACAAAATTAGCTGTCGTGGTGGTAGGACCCTGTAATCCCAGCTACTCGGGAGGCCAAGCCAGGAGAATTGCTTGAATCCAGGAGGTGAAGGTTGCAGTGAGCTGAGAAAATGACAAAGCAATCCAGCCTGAGCAACAAGAGTGAAACGCCAACAAAAAAAAAAAAAAAAAAAAAAAAAAAAAAAAAAAAAAAAAAAAAAAAAAAAAAAAAAGAAAGAAAGAAAGAAAAAGAAAAGAAAAGAAAGAATTTTAGAACTTGAAGACTGGTTCTCTGAAATAAGACAGTCAGACAAAAATAAAGAAAAAAGAATTTTAAAAATGAACAAATTCTTTGAGAACTATGGGATTAAGTAAAGAGGCAAAATCTAAGAATCATTGGTGTCCCTGAAAGGGAGGGGGTGAAAACAAACAACCTGGAACATATATTTCTGGATATCATCCATGAAAATTTCTCCAACCTTGCTAGAGAGGCCAACAGTAAAATTGAGGAAACACAGAGAACTCCTGCAAGATTCTACAAAAGAAGTTCACCCCAAGACACATAATCATCAATTTTCCAAGGCTGAAATGAAAGAAAGAATGTTAAAGGCAGCTGGAGAGAAAGGGCAGGTCATCTACAAAGGGATCCCCATCAGACTAACAGCAGATGTCTCAGCTGAAACCCTAAAAGCCAGAAAAGTTTGGGGGCCTATATTCAACATTCTTTAAAAAGAAAACTTCAACCCAGAATTTTATATCCAGCCAAACTAAATTTCCTAAGTGAAAAAGAAATAAGATCCTTCTCAGATAAGCAAATGTTGAGGGACTTTATTACCACAAGACTTGCTTTACAAGAGATCTTCAAAGAAGCACTAAATATAGAAAGGTAAAACTGCTACCAGCTAATGCAAAAACACACTTAAACACACAGACGTGTATCACTGTAAAGCAACCACACAAACAAGCCAACACAGTAACCAGCTAAAAGCACAATGACAGGATCTAATCCACACATGGTACACTGTCATCAAGAGACCCATTTCACATTTAATGACACTCATAGGCTCAAAATAAAGGGATGGAGAAAAATCTAACGAGCAAATGGAAAACACAAAAAAAGCAGGGGTTGCAACTCTAATTTCAGACAAAACAGATTTCAAACCAAGAAAGATCATAAAAGATAAGGAAGGGGATTACATAATGGTAAAGGGTACAATTCAACAAGAAGACCTAACTATCCTAAATATATATGCACCCAGCACAGGAGCACCCAGATTCATGAAGCAAGTTTTTAGAGGCCCACAAAGAGACATAGACTCCCACACAATAATAGTAGGAGACTCCAACACTTCACTGACCATAGTAGACAGATTGTCAAGGCAGAAATTTAATAAAGATATTCAGGACCTAAACTCAGCATTGAACCAAATGGATCTGAGAGACCTTTAAAGAAGTCTCCACTCAAAATCAACAGAATAAACATTCTTTTCATCACCACATGTTACTTACTCTAAAATTAACCATATGGTTGGACATAAAACAATCTCAACAAATGTGAAAGAGTCAAAATCATACCAAACACACTCGGACTACAGCACAATAGAAATAAAAGTCAACACAATTAAAATCGCTCAAAATCATATGATTACATAAAAATTAAACAACATGCTCCTGAATGGCTTCTGGATAATATGAAATGAGACAGAAACAAAGAAGTTATTTGAAAACAGTGAGAACAAAGATACAACATATGAGAATCTTTGGATCACAGGTAAGGTGGTGTTAAGAGGGAAATTAGTAGCGTGAGCTGCCCACATTAGAAAGTTAGAAAAATCTCAAATTAACTATCTAACTTCACAACTGAAAGAATTGGAGAAGCAAGAACAAACCAATCCCAAAGCTAGAAGATGAGAAATAACAAAAATCAGAGCTGAACTGAAGGAAATAAGACACACACACACACACACACACACACACACAAACACTCAAACAATCAATGAATCCAGGAGCTGTCTTGGAAAAATTAATAAAATAGGCCACTAGCTAGATGAATTAAGAAGAAAAAAGAGAGGATCCAAATAAACAAACGTAGAAATGACAAAGGGAATGCTACTACTGACCCCATAGAAAGAAAAACAACCATCAGAAACCACTACAAGGCCAGTTGTGGTGGTTCATGTGTGTAATCCCAGAACTTTGTGAGGCTAAGATGGGAGGATTGCTTGAGCTCAGGAGTTTGAGAACAATCTGGGAAACATAGTGATGCCTTGTTGAAGAAGGAGGAGGAGGAGGAGGAGGAGGAGGAGGAGGAGGAGGAGGAAAAAGAAATGACTATAAATACCTATATGCACACAAACTAGAAAACCTAGAAGAGATTAGATGGATAAATTCATGGATACATATACCCTCCCAAGACTGAGCCAAGAAGAAACTGATTCCCTGAAAAGACCAATAACAAGCTCCAAAATTGAATCAACTTACCAACTAAAAAAGGTCCAGGACCTGATGGATTCATAGCTGAATTCTAC